ATGGGCTCGGTCTAAACAAATTAAGCAGAAGAATACAAACAAAAGGTGTTTTTATTGCTTTCAAATATTTCTACAAATAACATTTGAAAAGTGTAGCTTGCATATTTTTTCAGCCTGCCACTCTGAATGCTTTTTAGAACCATCTGTTACTACTAATAAAAGTCATTTGAGTCATGTCACCACCAGCTTTACAAATCTGAAAGTGAAATGTTCATCCAATCTTGGCAAAATGGATAAGTTATGAGCACAGGATATCCATAGTGTTAAACAGGAAGGCTAGCAAATGAACTATTACATTTTTCTACATTGCCGTACATCAAGAATGTGCTCAGTATGAGCATTGGATTTGAAGGAGGATGAGCATGGATGGTTCTTTCCTCTATTGTTTTAATGGATTAATAGTATTGACTCCAGCTATCCAGCTCCAACATAGACAATGCAGGTACAGAAAATGTCCAAATGGATGTAAAAATGGAGGTACATTCTCCACTACGGTATGACCAAGAGCTGATTAAGTTTGGTGCTGTTTGAAAATATAAATAAAGGGTTTTGGTTGCTCCTGAACCTAGATCTCTACAGTTGTTAGTAGCGAATCATCTTGTATGTCTGACTCTGTGTGCACAGGAGCAGAGGGAAAGGCTGGAATGGCAGCCATCGCTGATCCGTCCCAATCCACCGACCTGGAGAAGTTGTTTAAGGACATGGAGAAAGTTCTCCCTCCGTATGCCAGACCCGTGTTTCTTCGCTTCCTTCCAGAAGTCAACAAGACGGGTATTTATTTGCTCATTTTATTTTCTAAAGGATCCATGTGCTGTGTAGGTGAAGCGTACATGCCCCCATTTTGGGTCATCATATCTTCATCTGTCTGTTGTCTAAACCTGCTGGGCGCTCCGCGGTCCATCTCCAGTGGCCACTGGGCAAGAGCCATATTATATTTGGGTCTTTAGTGATTAATATGAAAGATTTAATTTTCATAAATATTATACAATCAATAGATCAATTGAACTTTAAAAATAATGCACGTTTGAATTCATTATGGATTTCCTCTATACCACAACGGTTCAAACTATGCACACTTGCTCAATTATATACACACTCCACTAATATTTAGATTCATGTTTCTTAGAAAAACAATTAAGAAAAGCTAGATAGTTTTTGTTCTGTTGAGAATTGGTAGGCATAAACCTTTCAGCGATTTTTTTCTATAATGTCAAGGAAAGAATGAAAGTTGCAATGAAACAACGAAGGGAGAGAAATAGGAAATGAAAGAACGTCACTTCACTTGTTAGTTCCTTTCCCCCTCCCTTACTTTCATTGATCTTTCTTCCTTCTTTTCTTTTTCTTTGTTGCCCTCCTTCTTTCCTTGATACAGTGTCTTCACTCATTTCTTTTGTCTTTAGTCTCTTTTTCCTTCCTACTTTCTTCACTTCCTTACTTTGATGCAGTCCACCTTTCATTCATCGCACCTGTAATTCTGAACTGCTTTGGTTTTGGCAGGTTTTTTTGTTTCATCTCAAACATTGATAGAAATATCTAACATAGCTCCCCAAAATTCTGAAAATGTTAGTCTTGAATTTGGGCTTGAATAATGTGTATAAACCATGAAAGAAAAACAAAATAATAATTAAAAAAAAAAAAAAAACAGCCTAGACTGATTTAAACAAAAAATATCTAAACAATTTTCCTCTGCCTCTCTTTTCCAGGGACGTTTAAATTCCAGAAGACAGAGTTGCGTCACGATGGTTTTAATCCCACTGTTGTGTCAGACAAACTGTTCTTCCTGGATTCCAGCAGAGGGCGCTATGTGCAGCTGGACGAAGAGCTCTACCGCTCCATAGTGTCGGGGAAGCACAAATTGTGACGGCATGACAGACCACTACATCGACTTGTGCACACACTGACATGCAGACATATTTCAATAAAGAAAAGAGGACAACATTGCCTGCCCAGGTTAGCAGAGCATATACATGGATGCTAACGTAAGAGCCATACGCTTCCAAAGGCCAATGCACACACACGTACGCTCAAACCTACTTTGCTCATTAAAGTTCTAAGAAAAAAGAAAAAAAAAAAAAAAAAACGAGATATATGGACAGCACGCTCAAAAGGATATGCTCTGCTCCATCCATCCCGGCTGAAATCTCCCCGGCAACCTCTCTCGCTACCTCAGCAGACAAAAAGAGAGGCACCAACCACAGAGACCAGGTTCTTTCTGGAACTTCAAACATCCTTTCATTGCAACACCGACCTTGAAGACCCCTTACCAAACATGCTTTCCCAGCAAGAAATAAGGCATACAAGCTGCCTGGAATCCAGAATGCAACAACTTGCGAATGCAGATTTAACACAAACTTCAAAGGATGCTGAAGAGAACTGTGAAACCAGTCCTGCATATAAAGTGTGAAGAACAACGAAGGGACCTTTGTGCACCTAAGTTATCTCTGTTCATGTTATCATGTTATGTTCTAGTGAGATTATCTTGTGAAAGATGGCACCTCTGCTTTTGACTTAACCTGCACAACTAGCCAGAAAGTGACGAACCACAATCTCTCACGCCATCTGAAGTTCAGATTACCTGAAACATTAGTCATTCCGACCTCGCTGCTCTCCAAAGCATCCGTGCGTTTCTACTAAAAGGGAACAATTTAAGAGCAGCTGGAAGGAACACGCATGTCAAATTAGACCAGTGGTTGCAGCTTTAATGTGCAATAACTCTCCAGCATCTGCAGTGCAATAATCAGCTGCAAGCCATCAGAACTTTGTTTTTATTTATTTATTAAAATATGTCAGAAACATACCAAATACTTTAAGTTGATGTTTACATATTTTAGTTGATAGAACTTGTATTTTATCATTCTTTTTTTTATGCTGTATGTCCATCCAAATCCATCCTACATTGGCATCTGGAGTCCATCAAAGCAAAGCTGTTGAACCCATTTTATATTGGCTGCTGGAACACAAAGTAAAGCAACAGGATAAAGTCAACCCTGGGCTAAATAACGTTTTTTTTTTTTTTTTTTTTTTTTTTTTCCTGGTTTGTATGTTGAACTCTCATGGTAATGTGGCCAAATTGTGCAGGTTTTGTCTGAATAGGTAGACTTTGCTCATCTTGGGATGGGTGTGTGTGTGTGTGTGTGTTGGTTTGTTTGTGTTTGTTGTTCACCTAAAGCATATGAAAAAGGGCGTGACAGAAGGATTTCCTGATGAGTACTTATGAGGGGGATTCTGCGACGTCCAGGAGAACTGATTGACCAAAACAAAATTCAAAAACGAACAGGAGCTGAAACTGAAGAAGAGAAGTCGGAAGTTTACTTATGTTCACTATTGTTAATTTGGGACTTTTTATTATTTATTTAAGCTACTCATTTTCCAGTTTGCAATGGTTATGCAACATATAACTTGAAAGAACAAGCATTGGGTGTGCAAATAGTTGACTTTATGGCGGATTGTCTAATCAGCACAGTCAGATATAGCTATATATACTCATGTAACCCCATTAATATTTGGTTACATATCCCTTTGTGATTTTCAGCTTAATACATACTTTCTGCAACCATCAACAAGATTCTGGCATCATTCAGACTGAATATTTGACCACATTTCATTTAAATTGTTTTTTTACTGCAATTTACCCAATTTTTAAGCTTTGTTTATACATTTTCTAGAAGGCTGAGGTTTGGACTAGGGGAAGACACGGTGGTGGCAGTATCATGCTTGGAAAAAGAAAATTAAGCTCTGGTTCACAGATTATCAAATGTAGATGTTTAAAAAGTTGGACTCCATTGAGTATAACCATGCCAGAAGTTTGTTGGTGGCAGCAATAAGCATATATTTGAATCTGTGAAATTTTGACCTGGTGATGTTTGAATCTAATTCTTGTTTCTGAAAATGATTAAACAACAGAGCAGTTCAAATAAAAATAAATAAAAAAATCATCAAAAGTTAATGTAATTTGATCCCATGACAATTGTATGTAAACTTCTGACCAGAACTGTTCTTTCTAGTCAATGTCGCTGTCCATCGTTTCGTGAACGAACGAGCGCCATGGACCACGCGCAGAGCACTGTGCCTTACTGCGAGTTCACCTCCCAGACACACAGGCCCTGGCCCTCTTCTTAATCTGACGTTTCAGCATTTATTTCTTATTTCAGTCTGTTCTCCATCATAGCAACTTGACTACATAGGATCATGAGATTTCCTTAAGTTCTGCAAAAACCAAGTGGGTAGCGTCTTCGTCCTGCCAGGAGCAGGAAGAATTTATCTCCTAAGACACTCCTTTAAGATTTTTTTTTTCCCTACCTTGAACTTAATTTGTGTTTGCAGTGTTCGTTTACCGCCCCACCTTCTAATACCCGCGCCTTGTTTTCTGTTTCCTGTCTACTCTGTCCCAGTTGAACTCACGTTGTCTCAGACGTTGATTAAAAATCGTCCCGGATATGATTGGCTTGTTCATGAATTCTGGCGACATTTAGCTTCACCTAAAAACGAATTTCAAGAAACTTTTTTTTTTTTTTTTTTTTTTTGCTCATTTGAGTTCTCTGCTGTTGCTCTGTAACCCTTGACCTTACATTGCATCCTGCAGTCACATGCAGTACACCAAAGCAGGATGTTGTTATTGTTTTCAGGATGCTGATGCTGCATGCATTGAAGCATGTTTTCTTGGTTCATACATTGCATTTACTGACATAGGAAATCTTCTGTCATTTTTTTTTTTTCACCCATTGTTTCCTCATCATTTGAGGGGGGAAAAGTCCAACGGAGACGTTCACGAGGTCCAGCTTCATTCCAGCCTTCTTTGTCTCTTTCGCTACTGAGTTTATTCTTTAATGATGAGTGTAAAATGGTCACATGAATGTGTTTGGGGGGGGGGAGGGAATGAACAAATGACTGATTTGTTTTTGTGAGGTGAAGTGTAATTTGTGTGTCTAAGGTTTGGCTGTTATGATGCTTCTGATTGGTGGCGGTTGCATTTGTCAATTCATACCACCAGGGGCGGCGAGTGATTAAACAGCCCTAGAGCACTGCACTCTGAAGAAGATGTCTTTTTTTTTTAATAAATATATTTATATTTTAAAATTAGCTTAAATTATTTCATTTTTGGAAGCCTGTCAATTATTCTTTGATCCACTGCTTTTTGTCTTTTTTGTGTGAAATCATAACTTTGTGATTTTGTGGTCTAAAAGGGGTTTTGTGCTTGGATGACAATCGAGTGAGCAGTTTAAATTTTATCTCACGTCTGAGATGCACAAGGAAAGGACAGGAAAATAATTACTCGCAGTCTGTTTGATTTGCCATCTACGTGTTGGAAAAATACTGATGGAAATTAGAGATGTGGTTCTTTCCTTAACACTACAATTAATTTAAGTTTAATTGGTAAAAATAAATCTTACAAAATAAACTTTACTGTTCAAATTTTCCTTAGAGAGTTTTGGGTTCGACAACTACATCCACATTTCTAAGGTTACATTTTATTTTCCCATTACTTTCGTGTTTTGTAGAACACAGCACTTCAGTCAATTAAACCATAACTTTGTAAGTTGTAAAATGTTAGAAGGCCTCAGAAGAAACAATTTCCAACATAAACTAATTGGTCAAGATTACTAGAGTCTCTGTGGATTCACTTTTAAGTTGGATGCAATAAAGTTGAGTTAAACTTTGCTGATGAAACATGTTCTTGTGATGCATCTGTGTCCTCTAGGGCTCATCCTGCTTTTTGCACATTTTTTTCCCCCTCGTTCGTTATGGTGTTAGTAAATCGGCCTCTCTCTGTTTCTGTTGCTTTTGTTTTACTGTGTTGTTGCACTGCAGCGGTTCTCAACCTGTGCAGAGTGTGTAGACGAGGTCTCAGAGGTGTGTGACACACACACAAACACACACAGACAGTTTCCCTCCTACCCACACAAGGCTAGTTGTGCACATACTGTATTAAAGGAAAGGGAGACAGATGCAGTGCTGCAAATGGAAAAATAATTATTAATAAAACTATTTACATTGTTCACTTTGACTCTGGTTCAGTTTGGGTTTTTTTTTATTTGGCCATTAATTAACTGTGGGCTCAATGGCCTTCTTTACAACCAGCAGTTAAAGTATTATTTGTCCAGATTTATTAATTTAACTTCAGACTCTACTGTCAGATGTGCCGAGTTAAAATGAGGCTTTCAAAGCAAAGAAACCCTCCTACTTTTTTCAAGCATCCTCTGGTGGGGCTGGCTAACATGGTAACTTGGTAATTTATCTTCCTTTAAAAAAAACAACAAAAAAATCAGACAGGAAATCAACCAATTTGACCAAGAAGAGCAAAATGGTCAGTCATCCAGAATCATACCTGATGATGGCGACACCAAATGTTATTGCCTCAAATTCTTGTCTTTGAAAAGTAATAATAATAAAAAAAAAGTTTTCTCCAACATAATAGTTTAATAAAGACATGCCAAACTTGAAATGATTACAACATTCATGTCATGACGGGTGTGTTTATGGTTTATGGTTGTAAACCTTTAAAACCACATTGAACTCGTGGCTTGTTGTTCCAAACAGGAACAACAAATCATTTGTTTTCAAGAACAACAAAAATATATATATTTTGAGGGCCAAAATGTCCTTTTTTTCCACAAAGTTAATGGAACCAATAAAACCAAATTAATATAAAATATTTATCCTAACCCAATCTTAAATATTACTTTGAGTTCTTTGTAAGATATAATATTTTTTTCCCTCCGTTACATAGTCTGATTGTGACCTTTCACTTCATGTCAGAGATTTCAGTTTGTTTCCTCTTTCTCTGTTTTTGAGAGATTTAATATCAATTTCTCCCCTTCAACTCTAGATGTCATATTTACCTAAAGTAAAACATAAAAAAATGATCCTCTTTCTAATAAACTCGCTGCTGAAGAGAGGGTCATGGGGACACACAGGTCATGTGTATTGTCTGAACTATTTGTCAGTCTGCCTAAAAGTAGAGCTAAGTCAGCAGTGTTTTTGGTGCAGATGCTTGCGGTTTGTTCCTCCTGGAACATCATCTGTAAATGTTGCGAAACGCCGTCCGGTCCGTCCTGACTTGCGGGGGCAGCACCTGAATCTCAGCTGACCTAAGTGAACCACATTCATGACTCTGCGTGTTTCTGAGAAGTCGGCGGGGGGGAACGTTCGCAAGCCACACGTTTCCAACAGTCTTGTTTCTGTTCTCTGATCCTTTGCCTCCATTGGCTGACGACCAGGTGGGCGGATCAGGAGTCAGAGCAAATATCAACCCAGCCTTTGCCAGTCTCTGTCTGTCTGTTGACTTCTGCTGTAGGCTTAGGGCCTGATAAATTGCTTCAAACTTTTTTTTTTTATTTGTTTTGTTTTCAGCATATTCGTCTTGCAGCTTTGTGTCCCACCGCAGCCATGAAGACTGCCTTGCTCTCTGTCGCCATGGTGATGATGTGTGTGACGATGGCGCACTCAGTGAAGCCACTAAAGGATTTCAACTTGGAAAAGGTAAAACTCACATCTTGCTTGTACTTTAGGGAGGTTGTGTTTTCTACTACAGTATCTGAGTGTTGTCAGATTTAAGGACAGCTGCTGATGATGGGTGACACAAACAAACTGCTTTTATAAATGAGGATTAATGTGTGACACAACAGGTGCGGAGAGATGCTGGAGGATATTCCACGTGGCAGAAAGGGAAATTGTTTTCAAAGTGCCAATGTTTGTTTGCCTTCATTAGATTATTTCAGATCTGTCAAGTACTTAATAACAAGTTTCCCACAAGATTAAGATGCGAAAAATCATGTCTATGTTAACAAGTGTGGGGAGTTTGTCCATCTGTTTATAAAATACAGCTATGAAAAGATGGCGTGTATGACGAGCTGTGCTCAGAGGCACCTTGTTACACTGAGGAACGCGTCTCTTCGTGATGATCAACATCGCTCATCTGCATTATTTTTAGTCAGTCCATGCCACCATCCCTCCTTAAATACTTCACAGTGCTCTGAGTGTCTACCCACCAAACACTCTCCACTCCCCTGAGGACAGAGAGCTACTTTGTGACTTGAGAAATTACAAACTGCTGAGTCTTTTATAATCTTTAGCTCCACTTAATCCTCTGTGGTCAGACTGCGGGTCAGACTGAGACACTGAGGGTGTGTGAGGTTAAATCTTCACCTGTAAATATGGAAATCTACTTCCATCAGTACCTTTTTGTGTAGCAAGACATTATGAAACGTAGTGGTTAAAAGTGTAAATTTTATATCCTACATCAGGGGTAGCCAAAGTCTCTCATCAATAGCCAGCTTCCTGCACAGTTTAGTCCTTTCCCTGGTTCCACACACCTGGATCAAATGATGGTTCATCAGCCGGCCTCTGCAGAAGTATTTAGATGGCTCACTACCCAGGGTGCCATTCAGTAAAAGGGTGGCGTGAGTGCTTGGAAAAATGTTAATGTTATCTTTAATTTTTATTTGCCTATTGTGATGTCCAGTAAAGGTCACTATGCGGTGGAATACATCACTTTATATTTAAGTATGTTTAGTTTCAAACTAAATGTTTATTTCACACTTTTTTATATATATAGACTCTGGACTTCATTTGATCATTTCAAGTTGCAAAATGTTTCACAGTGAAACAGTTTTATATGAAATTATTTCTGAACTGAGATTTCACAATGTAAGAAAGTTGCAAATATTTTTATGTTAATCACCTTTTTGTTCTAACACCTCAAGATCTTGTTTTCATGCAGACTTTGAAGCAAACATTTGTGAATTTGTTAGCTTACATATGCAAAATATGTGTTATTCCAATGGAAAGCTACTAATTCAAACCAGTTTTCCAGATCAAATAGACTAATATAGTTTGCCATTATTTTTCTCCCAGACCTCTATCATGAAATAAGTTTTATTGTTTTTGTTTGGTTTTGCACTCACCTCAGATTTCTATGCTGTCATATGCATTAAGTTTGCAGGTAAATGGTACCGAGTGGGACTTGCCTATGACTCTCCAGGCTTTATCCCTTTTAGAGACAAAGTGAAGATCTCCATGGGCGTCATCACAATGCTGCCCGGCGGCAACGCCAACCTCACAATGTGGGAAGCTCTGTGAGTCCAAATATGTCAAATGATAAAGGGCAGATAAAATTAGCAATTACAGATTATTATCAGAGCTGATAGAAAAAATATATAACTGGTTAAGTGGATAAAGAATTCAGTCCAACACATGCCATTTTACTTATAGCATGATTCACAACTTGCTTGAGATTCAGCACAAACATCTTATGTTTTTTTTTTGTTTGTTTGTTTGTTTGTTTGTTTGTTTGTTTGTTTGTTTGTGCTTCAGATCTATAGCCTGCATTCCTAAATTTTACCAGTATAACAAGACAAGCGTGCCTGGACACTTCATCTACTTCAGCACCCGTAAGTGGTTTCTAATTTTATCCTGAGATAAATTAAATTGAGGGATTTATTTGTCTAAATCAGATTTTCTGGCCAATAAGTTAATAGTTACATCAGCAGGAAATTTCCTTTCGCTAACTGGTGCATGAGTAAAAAAATACATATATATATATATATATATATTTAATGTCATATGTGATGTAAATCTATGAGCTTATTGAGTAAACAATCCAGAGTTGTGTGTGGAAAGACTAAAATGTGTACAAAGATTAAGCAAACAAATTCATAAAGTGCAGAGACCAGTGTGTGTTTTTGAGGAGACTGTTCAGATGCATTGAATGCCACAGGAGGTCATTCAAAGAAGTGTTACAATATGACTGAGAAACATTTTAGATTAAGGAACATGAGCAAACACACAATGAAAATCTACAAAGTTAAAAAGAAAAATATGAAGCAGTGTATTGTGGTATCATTTCAAAATTCAAATAGAAACACAATTTAAATTAGGATTTAGTTTTTTAAATACTGAATGTTTACCAAAACGTAGCTTAATTTGTCTACATTCTTCCTATATTTAATTTGTTTTTCTTTTTAATTACCTTTTCCTACCACATATATCATAGTGTAAACATTCATATGATATTTTCAGATTTAATAAGTCATACCATCACACCCAACACAAAAAACAAGGCATTTTTGGTTTATTTTTCCAAGACATTTTCAAGAAATTCATTGTTGTTTTTCCTGTTCAGGCCATAACATGGTGAAGGACGTCACTGTTGTGGACACAAACTACTCTGAATATGCCGTGGTTCTCAAATACGAGAATTTTAACAGAGAATACACACAGGCGGCGCTCTACAGTGAGACCCAAAGAGACACTTTAAATTGACTTTTTTTTTCCAGCTCCTGTGCTGAGTACATGTAGCTCACCCAGATCTGCTTGAACAGGTCGCTCACCGAGAATCAAAGTACAAGTCCTGCAGAAGTTTAAGGCCTTTGCTTTGTCCCGTGGTTTCCCCCGAGCATCTATTCTGACCCCTCCTCCAGCAGGTAATTATTGATGAAAAATGGTCTAAATATCTGCAGTTTAAATACTATGATATAAGTAAGTTTTCTTAAGTAATGGGTGGAAATGTCCTGTTAAGTTCATCATTGTTTTCTTTGTATTGTCTCATCAACAGAGAACTGTCCAGCGTCAGGATCTGGATAATAGGCAAGATGTTTGTTTGTTACCTAAAAAAGGTAAAAACAAAATATATATATATTTATTGTAAATTTCCGTGCTAAATTGAATTTTGTTTCTCTTCTAGGTTTTATCTCAGAGGAAGCTGAAAGAATTTTATTCAGATGTTTTGCCCAATATCAACAATAGAGACGCGATCAATATATATAAGTCTATTTTCTCAGTTTCTTTCATTTTTGTTGTCCAATTTAAATAAAAAAAAATTACATATCCTTGTATTCCCCAAACCTCTGTTTTATAAATGTATGAAATTACTTGAAATTTGTTAAAAACCTTCAAACACTTTTAGGATTTGAATCCATCAGTATCTATGTTTTATGCTCCTCAGCTCCAGAAGCAACTGCCTGAAAATCTGAAATCTGCAGAAACTTCACATCTTAGGACTGAAAACATTGTTTACTGCAGATTACCTACAAAGGTCAAAGGCTTAATTTTGTTTTACAATTTCTCTATGATTTCGTTTTATTTACTCAAATTTGATTATTTTTTACAGTTTTTTATGTGGTTTTTTTATGTTTTAGGTTGATTTTTTGTTTTGTTTTGTTTTTTATTTAGGTTTCTTTGCTCTCCCTGTGAATAACCCCCCTAAATATTAGCCTAATTATTTGAAAGATTAATTGTTTAAGAAATATAAAAAGTTAGTTAAAACAAAAAAAATTGTTGTAATTGTTGTAAGGTGTGGCAAAATATAAGATTTTCATAGAATGTACTTCAATTAGAAAACATTTGAATCTGATGCAACACAGTCAAATTGTCAAATACCACTACTTCAAAATAAAAGTCAACATTATGTAATGCATGTTTTTACACTGCAACGGCAGTAATATGTCAAAAAATAAATAAATCCACAAAGGTGTCGGTTGAAGCACCTTGCATAAAACAATCAAGTCCATTTTGTAGCTCATCTTTAAAATAATCAAGATCTCAATTACCAACAAATTCCCCATGTGGAAAATAATAAACACTGAAGTAATTAAATGGGAAATTAAAGGGTTAAAATCGTAGTTTTGAACAAATCCAAAGTTGACATTTAAGGGGGGAAAAAATTAAAAATGTATTATTTTATGTGTTCTTGGGATGGATAATTTGCATTTGTGGCTTAAATAAATAAATAAATAAATTGAATTACAATAAATACTTAATTTCTAATTCCAGACACCCGGATATATTGTCTTGTAGTGTGATGTTGAAAATGACAGCCACTTGAGAAGTGCATGTCGAGGATTCAATTACTGTATAGCAGTAATAACAAAGAAAATGTGGAACAGAAGAATCGAACAAAGAAACTGAAAAACCAGGAACTTAAGTGAAGTAGGGGAAGAAAACGACAAAGGAACCAGACGAACTGATCAGAGGCGACGTGAAACAGCGTTGACAGAATGAAAGTTGAAAAACTGAGGGAGGGAGACTAATTAACAGCCGAACAGGACTCAAAGGCTCTACACAATCCTGGAAGAATAGCCATTGTCATGGCAACAAGTAATAGGATCCTAATTAAGAAATGAACCAAAAGGGGAAAAGCATCATAATCATCTTAGAGAAATAAATACAAATGTAAAGGGAGCAGAACACAAAAACCGAGAAACTAAACGTGAAGAGATGAAGGAATGCAGGAGCACCTCTGTAACTATAACGAATGGCAAGACCTAAAAAAAACCATACTATTGCTATACTATCAATCAAAACATTAACCTTTTTTTGTGTTGTTTGTTTTTTGGTTAAATAAATAATTTATCCCTTGTAAGTATAATGCAATATAATTCACTAAGCTTTCAAAACCTTGATAAATCTCAGGAATGTCCATCCACCAGCAGATTATGTAGTATTTAGATCATTTAGGTTACAGACCAGAAACAGATTTATTACTATTAATTCAAACTCTAAGTGTCCTGTAGAGACCCTCTTGGAGCAGCAAACCAGCCTTTTCCCCACTGACCAGCTGTTAAAGCCTAACAGATATTGATTGGTTGCATGTTTACAGTTAGTTTCAAACTCTGAAGTCCAGGGATTTATTTCAGATTAGTCCGAACAACAAACACTTGAATGTACAGAAACTGAGAAGGAGATAAAGTGATGCTCGGACCTTCGCTCTCAGTCTTTGAAAGCAAAACGGGGTGGGAATCCAAAAAGCAAAGCATGACGGTTAGCTTTGAAAAGGCCGGTTCTCACTGTAGGAACAGATTTTCAGGATGCAAAGAGTTGTGTTTCTGGTGCCTCTACTGGTTGTTGGATCGACATGGACCCACCAGATGGACCCAGTGATGGAAAATAGTCCAGCAACACCAATGGAGAACTTTGATTTTGAGCAGGTGAGTGTTTAAGACAGCAGTTCTTCTTTCTCCCCCCCATTTTAGCCATCAGTTTATGCAAAACTGTTCTTTTTTTCTCACCAACTAAAACATTTAGAAGCTCCTCTGTGAAAATGTTTATGTTGATCTCATCAGTTCACCTGCAGATGGCTGGATGTAGACTGTGTATTTTTTTTCTTCTTCAGTTTACAGGACGATGGTATGAAATGGCTGTGCTGTCCACTTGTCCTCACTACATGCAGCGCAAGAAGAGAAACCCTGTCATTATGGCGCTAGACCTGAAACATGTTCCTACTCAGCATAACTTTACAATGACTTCCTCCACCTTCAAGTCCGTTTCTCCTGTGTTGTAATTAACTGCAAAAGATGTAAGTTTTTGTGTGACCTACAACATGTTTCTTCTTTCAGGAATGGCACATGTGGGGAGACTTTGACAGTTTATAGCTTGACCAGCACTCCAGGGCGATTCTTTCACCGTGTTGCAAGTATGTTTCTGCCTTTCTCTACATCCTTTCTGCGACATAAGGTTGTTTTTACATAGCATGCTACAGCATTCAGTAGCAGTGGCTCTCTGTAGTTAGTTTTGTGAGACTTTATAAGTTACGTTGCTGTGGAAGAATTTTGACTCGATTTCCTTTACGGGTTTGCTTCAATTTCTTAATGTTTGAAGTTTGTAATTTAGCATTTCAGTCAGACTTAGGTCTGAACTTTGACTGGTACATTTCAAACGTCTTGATTGTTTCCTTTGTCAGCCTTTCACTTCAGATTTGCTGCCGTGTCTCTGGTCTTTGTGCTGTTGGCGACTCAGTTTCACCACATTTGACTCTGGAACATTTTGGTATATAACTCAACAGCTGCAAGGTGCTTTGGTCCTATCTCTGCAAAACAGACCTGATTTTACCCCTCCACCATCATTGTGTTTTGCAGTTTTTCTGATAAATTTGCACTGAGTGCATGACACTGGTCTTCATGGCCAAATCTTTCCTTTGGTATTAGCTGTCCTGTGGACATTGTTCTAGAAATCTTATGGTTCATTCAGATGCAGCAAACCTAATTTGAGTTGCTCTGTTCATTTTAGAAAACAACTTCTGTAGAGCATGCAACAGGGTACAGATTGGGATTTTTGCATTTTCTTTGAGCAACGCATGGGCTGACCTTGGGGTAAACTTGCAGGGGTTTCCCCTCCTGGGAAGATTGACAGCTGTGTTAGAGTAATGGGCTGTTAACACACAGCTCATGCTCCCAACCAGCAAACCTCCAAAACTCTGTTCTTCAGAGTAGTTACTCCTACTTTCCCTCCTAAATACACTGTAAACAGTGAGTGTGCATTAAGTTTTCACACACGGCTTTTTAAAAAAATCTTCTTTATTTAATAAATAAGAACACTTTAGAATCTATTTTGTGCTTTGCCCATTTATGATTTAAGCAATTTTACAATCTGATAAAGACCTCAAGGTTTTGCTGTTTGTAGTATGTAAAGTCCTAAGAGAGTGCATACTTTTTTTTTTCTGTGAAAATCTGTGAAAGCGTTCCTCAGACATCAAATGAAATTTCCTCTCTGCAGGATTTGGAGCCGATGTTGATTCCTTCGTGACTCACACAAACTATGATGAGTACGCTCTGATGCTGCAGCTGAGCACAGAGCAACCATCGGGAAATAAAACCACCACAGTTAAACTTTATGGTAAGTCAACAGAGGTTTCCAATCTGACTCTGACTGAGCGACCAGGAGAAAAAAACCTGTGATTCAATAACCAAATCACAACTACAGTTAAAACCAGAGATTAAGGTTTAAAACAAACCCTTCATTTGATCGACATGCTTCCTTTAACTTGAAGTAAAATGAGTGTTTTTGAGTCGGCGTCATGACGCTGAACATGTTTGGTTTGTGCTATATTCAAAATGATTCAGTATACCTTTTCATTCTAATTTTATTTTTTAAAAATTAGCCAGAAAGGAACTAAATCCAAACATTTTTCTTTCATCTGATTCATCAGTAGGAGACACAGTTACACAGCATCTTGGGCTTAAAAAAGAAACAAAATGCAACATGAGAATTTGTCGTCCAAATAATCTGCTATGTAAGAGTGAAATAATGACAAATGTCTCCTTCTCAGGTCGAACTATGAGTGTTAGTGCTCCTGTTCTTGATCAATTTAAAGCACTCATCAGACGTCATGAAATGAGTGAAGATGCTGCTATCATGAATCAACACATAGGTACTTCTGATATCTGGTTATTTTCAATCACTGTTTTTTGGCAGGAAATTTTGTTTTTTATTATTATTATTATTATTTTCGAATCATGTTAGCATGATTTATTAATTATCAAGCTATGTTTTTATATTCCGGCCATTTTAAGATTTTGCATTTTCTCTGGATTAAAAGTATTGTCTCAGATTTGTTAAAGCACTTTCAAAAGGAAGTATTCTGTTTACATTATTCTATTTCTGTATTCATTTTTCTCATAGAAAAATATTAATGTTTTAAACTAAAGAGATTTAGTTTTTCCTGTCTTTCCAGGTGACTGTTTTCCAGGTAAACAAATGATGGAGGAAAGTGCTAACCACCAGGTAGCCGTTTCCCACTATGATGAACCAGTTCATGACTCTCTGTTTGACATGAGAATAATCATAAACAACAGGTCATGTGTTTGTTTTCAGGCTTTTGTTCCTCAGATCTCCAGACAGAATATTACAACAGAGGACAAGCAAAGTGATGTCTGACCAGGCTACAAATAACTCATTGTTAGAAATTTTTAAAAGCCTTGTCTTAGATTTGATTTCTGATGCAGCTCACAGTCTCTCCAACTTTTTGTTTATGCATCTTTTAATATACAAAGTTTACTTTTGTTTACTTTAGATTTTCCTCCCAATTTTAAATGAGAAAGAACCTTAGTGGTCAACAATACCACTGTGCTGGAGCAGCTAAATGAATTTGCAGTCTTTGTCTGTGACATAACACAATTACCCAATGTTAAAAAAATGTATTGTATTTTATTTTGTTGTTATTACTAGTATTTTTGTAGTATTAGTAGTAGTAATTGTATGCATGAATGAACATAATGTCTCAAAATTCAAATAGTCAGAACTAAAGATGAAAAATAATAAAGAACTATTTGTTTGTATGAGAACTGTCTGCTGAACTCTGGATCCTTTTTATATTTGTAATATAACTCAATGCCACATTGTTCTGAGGAGCTGGTTGAGTAGAAGTTCAACTTCAGCTTCACATGTTGAGCTACTGAGTTTGAGCACGTTGGGGTGTCGCTAATGTGGTGCTGCTTTAAACGTACTTTGGCAGGCAGATGGATAGTGTTAGCAGGGAGACACCAAAGTGTAATTTAATGTCGTTATAAATCCAGCTGTTCAGTGAAGATGTCATGTTAAGGAACAAACAGCATCATGAAGATCAAGGAACAACACAGCAGACAGAGTGAAGCTGGTTGGAAAACGATATTCCAGACTAGATGCAACGAAGCACACAATGTGGGAGCTGCAGAGATCCTAAGATCAGTTTGCAGAATCCTTCAATAATCATACATTCTGCAAACCTGTCTTTGGCGGAAGAGTGGCGAGAAAAACGCCGCTGATAAAAGAAAATGGTAAGAAGTGTTTACAGATTGACACGAGCCATGTAGGAAACAGCAAAATTGAGGAAGAAGTCGTTCCTGTCTTTTGAGGCCAAACTTGAGCTTTAGAGTCTTCATATTATTACGTTTGGCAGAAAATGAACTTTCACATCACTCCTAACGCACTACCTCCACAATGACAGATGGTGGCAGCATGGTGCCGTAATTTGTTTTTCTTTATCAGGGATAAGGAAATGCATGCCACACTTTTCAGAATTTGTTAACAAATGTGAAAACTCTGAATCTTTTTCATTGCCCTTCACAATTATGCACTAATGTGTTGTTTAACACACATAAAATCCCAATAAACCAGTTTGGCGTTACATAATAATAAAATGCAAAACGGTTTAGGGGTTGTGATAAGTTTGTGTTGTTATGTTGGAGCTTTGATAAAGTAAAGATTTCAAAAGGCAGTGACCAGAGGAACACAACTGACCTGATGTGACCAGTATGTTCACTTTCTGATCAGCAGGGCGTGCTGTGACAAATGGAAATGAACTTTTCTAGCCATAACGTAGAAATGGCAACAAGTCAACCCATGAGCAAATTCCTTATCGCTTTAAAACCAGTAAATAAAAATTACAGTAAAAAAAAGTATTGTCATTTGTTTAAAAATGTATGTGCACACTTATGTCTGTTTACAATGATGGTAAATGATTCAATGAAAGCAGGCATAGTTGTATTTTGCAAACATTTTTCCAAACGTGGGAACTATTACAGAAGAAAATTTCCAGATTTGTGCCTCTAGATCTGACAGTACTGTCAAATATATATATATATATATATATATATATATATATATATATATATATATATATATATATATATATATATATATATATATATATATATATATATAAACAAAGTTTATGAAAATCATGGATCCTGTTTATTTAATAGAATACCTAAACATTTAAATAAACCTAATTTCCTTGTTTCGTTTTTTTTTTTTTTTTTTTTTTTTTTGCTCATCCTGTAGCACATATTGATCTGCCAGTAGTGCAGCATCTCTGAAGTCCAATGTTTGAGTGGTTCACTGCCCCTTGTGATAAATCAAACTAAAGCAGAGACAAACAGAGAGACAGAACTTTGCTCCTTTACTTGTTTGCGTTTTTTTGGAAGCCAGGCCGTGGGAGTGATTATATTCTGAGTCCTTTACAGTTCAATGTGCGGTCCTGTTCTCAGCAGTAGAGAGGGGCTGTCACTGTGCTGCACACCTACAGGACAAGGTTCGACAAACGTGGACACAAAGTTCTGACAAGATGCAAAAATCTGTGGCTTTGGTTTTTTTGCTGTTGTCCGGATGGATAGGGGCCCTCCAGGGACTCCCTGTTCTCCCAGATCCTCTTTACAGCACACAGGAGAACTTTGATCTGAGCAAGGTGAGAGGAGAACCTCCTAAGTTTCACAAGATTATTTGAATCATCGAGCATAACTGCAAGAAATAAAAAAATGTTTGGTACTAAAGATAAAAGCAAGGAAGCACATGTAGAGCTATTTCTACCCGTTTAGTGTTTCCTGCCTTGCATGTTCTTCATAATACTTAAGGAGTACTTTACATATGCAGATAAAGACATTAAAATAAAAAATGTCATAACTTTTTTTTAAGTACAAACTATGTATAGGGAAGAGGCTGAATGGCTGAAACAATGTTTTATAGTTTGGTTGCATTTTTTAAAAAATTCTAAATATCTTAAGTGTGTGATTTTCTACTTTCTGTATGTGCAATGTTTGTTTTTTATGACAATCCTGTTAACTCTTCATGACAGTTTTTGGGAACATGGCACGATGTTGCGAAGGCGAGTACATCTCCCTACATGCAGCGCTACAGCGGAGAACGAGCCATCGGCAAACTGGTGCTGCAGAGGGGCAGCACGGATGAAAAGCTCAAAATGACCCGAACTGTGCTCAGGTTGGACTTCAAATACTGTCATATGTCAGACTTAAAGGACAAAAGAGTCCAAACAAATCGCTTATTTTATCAATCAGCAAATGTTTATCATTTCTTCACTTTCAATGTCTTCTATGAATTGGAAATTTGTATTTAAAGTCACAGGAAGTCAGACAAACACTCATGCAAATTAACAGATTGCAAAACATTTGAATTTTATCTGCTTGATGATCAAGGCCAAAATCGATGTTTGCCAAGGCTTTCAAAAGTTCAAACTCGGACACAGTCAAGTATAATCGATGTGGAAAAAAATAATGAGACAGTCTTGGCTGAAGTTGAATATTTTGACATCCAACTTACCGAAATATATACCAAAATATATTCTGGTTTCACCAGAAATATTCTTGGAAATTTCTGGTAAAACTCAAATTAAATTTGGGATTGAAGTGACAGCAGAACGTGAGTTTACCACCGCTTTTCCTTTTAAATGATGCACTCGGTCAGGGGCGTCAAACTCATTTCATTTTGGGCCAAATTAAAATCATGAATGTCTTCCAAATTTTGTGGAAGGAGATGTTGATAAAATCCATTAACAAATTGCAAAGATATTAATTAATGGCTGACCCTGCATTCAATGAGTACTTCTTGAAATAAAATAATATTGGACATCATTTCTCATTGATGTTATTTGGTAGTATACAGATAAAAACTGCCTTGATTTGGTGATAAAAAAGGGGAAACTTTTTGTTTTTCAAAGGACAAACCATCATTCCAATCCTCTATAACTTTCAAGGTTAAAGTCACAATAAAAACAGGGGGAAAACAATGATTAAAAAAAAAAAACTGATGCTACATTTGATTTGTGTGATCACAGATGACTCTTAAAATCACACAATTTAATAAAACAAAATATTTAAGCAAAATTCAGCAAGTAGGCTCAGTCAGATGTTTCTGTGTTGGGACATTAGGAAGCATTACAGAAGGTACTATTCTGGAATTTGGTTACTACTATTTGCTTTGATCGCTTGAATTAAAGTGTATTTTGTGCAGACGGGGAACATGTCAAGAGAGAACTGGGGATTATGAGTTGACCTCCACACCAGGACGATTTTTCTACCATGTTGCAAGTATGTTGTCTCACTTTTTCTCTCTATTAATTTGGTGTTTGTGCTCTGATGATCACCTGAGGAAATAACTCTTGCTGGACGTTTTCTCCCTCTCTGCAGAGTGGGGAGCCGATGTGGATGCTTATGTCGTCCACACCAACTACAACGAGTACGCCATCATGATTATGAGCAAGCAGAAATCAACAGGAGACAAGAGCATCTCACTCAAGCTATACAGTGAGTTTCCATCTCCTGGAGAGTCACCGCTGGAGAACAGATGATGGAAATTGTTGGCACATTCTCAACCAAATACTCTTTAAGGAAGCACAAAGCAAAAGTGAACAGACGTAGGATGTGGATTTCCTGTGGTACATTTTTAACAATACTTCAAAGATAACGTGTGGAAAATTAATTAGCTTTCTGCCTGACTGCGATCCGTCTGGGCTATAGCAGGAGCAGGTGGTGATTTTGGTACAAAAAAACCCCCAAAAAAACGTATAAATACTTGTTCTGTTCTCTGTAGGTCGGACAAAGACTGTGAGACCAACGATCCTGGAGGACTTTAAAACTCTGGCCAGAGAGCAAGGAATGGGTGACGACGCCATTTACATTAGAAAGGACAAAGGTAGACAAATGCATTTGCATGCAAACATATGCTAAATAGCAAAAAATATATATTTTATGCGTCATGTAATACTTGTCCCAACAGAGGCTGTTTTAAAATCTGTACACATTGTATATTAGTGATTCAGTCATATACAAAAAAGATTTCCATTTTCTCTGTGTGCAGGCGACTGTGTTCCTGGGGAGAAGGTGGCCGAGCCGACAAGTCAGCCTGAGCCTCAGCCTGAGTCTGAGCCTGAGCCTAAGGTAGAACCAATCATCCACGACCACTGGGCAATATGGACTTAAAGTTTTACCACAATATTTTGTGGTACTATTGTAATAATGATAAAAGTGACAATAAGAACTACTCATTTCTTTTTTTTTTAGGTGACTGCATAACAGAGAAACTGTAACCCAACAAGCACAAATACTCCTCTTGAAAAATTTGTTAATAAGCTTCTTTAGGATGTCTTAGGATATAAATTCCTACAATGTGTGTAACTGCATTTAATTCCATCCATCCATTTTCTGAACACCCTTGTCCCTCAGTGGGGTGAGGAGGGGTGCTGGTGCCTATCTCCAGCTAACGTTCCGGGTGAGAGGCGGGGTACATCCTGGACAGGTTGCCAGTCTGTCGCAGGGCAACACAGACACACAACCATGTGCACACACACACACACCTAGGGGCAATTTAGACAGACCAATTAACCTAACAGTCATGATTTTGGACTGTGGGAGGAAACCAGAGTACCCGGAGAAAACCCACGCATGCACAGGGAGAACATGCAAACTCCATGCAGAAAGACCGGGGCCGGGAATCGAACCCAGAACCTTCTTGCTGCACGGCAACAGCTCTACCAACTGCGCCACTGTGCAGCCCTGCATTTAATTATATTATCAAATTCATTAAACAGCGGTGAAAAATTGTAAAAATAAATAAATAATCCCGACAATACAGACAGTTTTTTGGTATTTTAACGTTACTTGGAATTTATCATAATAGCGTCAAATCAAAATCTTTGTATGATAAGAAATGTATCACTATAAATTATAGGACAAATGCCCATCCCTATGGATCATATGGTTGAAACCAGATCTTTACATCCACTTAAAAATCATATATGTTTTTTTTTTCCCCATCACTCTTTCACTTTAAACCAGACAGCATTTAATCTTTTTTGCGAGTTAGGAAAACCTAAATAATGTGTTTTTTATTATTTGTTTGTATTCAGTAGCTTTAAAATACCAGTAAAGTCCATGTAATACAACATTTTAACCACCGGGTTAGGGAAAAATGTGACTGAAAATGTCTTCACAATACCTGATATATTGTTTTCTAGGAAAGATAAATGCTTTGTGCTTTTAGCAATGGCTTGCTTTTTGAAATCTACAAACATGCAGTTGCATGGTAAATGGATAATATGATGATTTTGACAAAGAAACCTACACAATCAGTTTGCTCTGCAACCTTTCTGTTGATGCTGACTGAGTTTTGTCTCTCCGTGTTGCAGCGGGTGAGGAGAAGTATTGTCTCTTCTTTGACTCTTGACGACTCAGAGGGCTCTGGTTTCGAAATGCCACTGTTCAATGGAACCAGTGAGAGATGAGCTACATTAAAACATCACTTTAGTCCCTTTATAATATCTAAAGGAGTCACACACAGCCTCTCTGTCTCTCTTTACAGTGGCATGTAACGCCGCTCCGGACACTGGACCGTGTTTCGGGTTGCTCAATCGCTACTTCTACAACTCTTCCTCAATGAGCTGCGAGCTCTTCCAGTACGGCGGCTGTTTAGGCAATCAGAACAACTTTGTGACAGAGAGAGAGTGTCTGCAGAGATGCCGCACAGAGGGTGGGAAGATATAACATTCTGTTTGGAATATGTCATTGGTATTTGACCAATAAGGAGGATTTAATCGAGGTTCAACTTACTTGATTCTCCAGCTGTGTGCCGTCTTCCCATGGCTGCCCAGCCCTGCACGGGTCAACCAGCTGTCTGGGTCTTCGACCTGTCCACTGGACTGTGCGTGCCCTACAAACAGGGCTTCTGTCAGCCCAATGCTAACAAGTTCTACACTAAGGCAGAGTGTGAAGAGTACTGCGGGGTGGTGAAAGACGGTGAGGCGGTTTGGAGATCATCCCAGACACACGTTTTGCAGCGAAAAAGCTGAA